AGCTGCAGCATCTATTCAATCTTGTCAAAAGGCCCAAAGACCAGACAGTTAATCATGTTTCTTTCAAAAGACCTCGTAGACACAGTCGTCTGGGAGCCCAGGCCCACCTTCACGTGTCCACTGCGGGGGTGTCCCCCGACCCTGCACCCCTTCTGCGGCTCAATGGCCGCATCTTTGAATCCAGATATGTACTCACAGTCAAGGTCATAGATGGGAACAAGCTCCCTTTCCGTCCAGCCCGAGACCTGCCTTCCCAAGTTCACAGCCTCCTCTGCTGAGACAGACTCACGTGTGGTGCTTACTCCCTCCAGGGAAGATCCTACACCAGAGTCTTGATTTGGGAAGACCACATCAGGACATAATCCAATCTCTATTCAAAAAAAAAAAAAATTCTCTACATAGCAGGAAAATTGTCTTACATTCTAAGCCCTTTGGATGACTGCTCTACATTCCCAATAGAAGATGCCTCCCCATAAGTGATAGGGAGAACCGAATTCCTTTTGAAGGAAGGGCAGAAATTACTTAATGAAGTGCAGGCCCCTTGTTTTTTAAATAGGAAACTGAGGCCCAGAAAGGGAATGTGATTTTCCTAATGCTGGCTAGTGGCAAAGGTGGGGCCAGCCTCCAGCTCTTCTGATTCCTGACCCCTTCCTCTTTAAAACATTGATCCATGCTGTATAGCAGAGGACAGAGACCGTCATATCATAAACTTTAATTCAAATAGACAGCGGGTTACAACAGTGGATGAACAGTCCTGGATCATCAGTGAATCCACAATGACAGTCCTGGATGAAGGGCTCTACCCACGTGAATGTAACGAGAGGGAAAACATTCCAGGGGTTCCCTAATGCGCACCAGTTCTATCTCCTGAATGGCACTTAAATTAATCCCTGTCTCCTGCCTCCACTTGAGTGAACCTACTCACCATCATTTCATCATCCAAATCCACTCCTGCCCTAAGGATAAAGTCTCAGATCCTCAACAGGACCGTAAGCGTCTATGCCTTGGTTTTATCTTGTTTTTCCAACTTTTTCTGGCTCTGCCTAGAAACCTTTTTCTCCTTTTCACCTGCATCAGTGGTTCTCAAACAGGGGTGATTTTATCCCCCAGGAACTATTTGGCAATGTCTGGAGACACTTCTTTTGGTTTATGGCTGAGGCTGAGAAACAGTCTCCGGAACTCACCTTCAATATCGCTTCTTCCACGAAGCCCTCCCATGGTACTTTATGCTGGCTGAAGGCCCTTCCTTCTACTCATCCCTGCTCCTTTGCAGCTCTTGGCACATTGTTCCTAGGATAATGTGACAGCTGCCTGCCTCCCCCCACCAGTCCATCACCTCCAGGATGGAGTGTTTGGCCCATCACCTGAGCCCAGTGCCCTGTAAGGTGCCCCGTGTAGTTTGGCATCACTTTTTGCCTTGATGACTGTGGAACACAGAGGAAGGCAGTTTACATAGGTGACCTGTCTTTTACCAGGGGTTATGTGGGCTCTCAAAGGTTTCAAATGCAGACTTACAGACCTCACGGTCAAGAGCACAGTCTTGGGAGCCCGACAGAAGTGGGTGGGTATTATAATTCTGCCACCTCCTAGTTGAGTAACCTTTAGCAGGTTACTTAATTTCTATGGAACTGGGTTTCATCATCTGTAAAACAAACATAAAAATAGAACATGTTGCATAGAGTTACTGTGAAGATTAGAAGACACAGTATGTCTAAGGTATTGAGTACCACCTTTGACACAGGGTAAGGGAGTAAAACTGAGATAAGGGCACAGCAGTGGGACAGCCCGACCTGTTCTAAGTGTCCACTGCCGCCCCCAGAACCTGGTTACGGGGCACAGGGACAGGGGAGGGACATCAGAAGACTGCTGGTCAACCCCTCCTTCTTAACTTTCTCAGCTCTAAAATGTACCTTAAAAACATCCCAGTTTATCTATCCCACGGACTTGTTATGTGGATCCCAAATAGCTCCCAGCCAAGCTAGAGCGGTACCTAAGGATACCTCTAGGTAGGGCTGAGGGTAGCTCTCCAGACTCCCTCTTACCCCCTCGGCCCCAGAGTCTCTTAAGAACTCTCAGCTGGCACCCCTGGCACCCCCGGCTCCTCATCTGGATGGCAGCCCATTTGGACCCGGGCAGACTCTAGGTTTCTCTGTCTTCCCAGGCTCTGCCTCTGGTGCCATCAGGCTCCACACCCAGGAACCTGCCTGGCCCCACCTCCCACCAGGCCTGAACCCTTGTCCACAGCCAAGTATCACAGTTCCCAGGGGATCTGTAGGGGAATTTGAGACATTTTCACCAAATGAGTCCCAGAAATTGATTGCTGTCTGTTCCTTTTGCCCTGGGGGAGAAGGGATCTTTTCCATTTCCTGGCCTCTTTGCTCCCCCAGCCCCCACCATTTTAGATGTTCAAACACCGTTTTTTTTAAAAACGAAGGTCTATATCCTAGACTGCTCAGGTCAGCAAATAGAAGTGTCTGTTTGAAGGCAGAGGGCTGGACGGGAAGAGGCCCGGATGACATCACAGGGGGCACTGGGAAGCCACAGACAGGAAATCCCTTCGCTCCGGGAACAGCTGTGGAAGCTGAGTCCCTCACAGGTAGCAGCCAGAGGTTCACTCCCAGGAACCTCTCGACAGAAACCCCTCCCAGCCTGCAGAGTTGCCTCAGCACCCGACAGACAGACCGACTGCAGGGTGGTGGGGGGCGGCTGGTGGCATCAGCTCCAGGGGGACAGAGCGGAGAGAGATCCTCTGTGGCCTCAGCCACCCACGCCCAGACCCCCTGGGTCAGCAGCTGGTTGCTTCAGTCACTTTGGGTGATTTGTTTGGCTCTCTGCCCTGTGGCCAGTGAAACCTGACAGGTCAGTTTCTAGATCTGGGCCCGTTCTCTTCCACTTCCTGGTTCTCACACCTTCCACTGGAAAAACTGTCGTTTACCTCCCCCTCGCACTGAAAAAGGGTATGTTTTTCTTTTGTGTGTTTTGTTTGGTTTGGTCCACAAAGCCCAGTGAAAGGCCCAGTCTCATCAGCCATTCTGATCCCTGGGAAGTTATTTAAGGGTTCAAAACAGCTGAAGTTAGACCCCTGATGATTAAAATCAGTGGGACGGTTCTTCCAACATGGGGGACCCTGCACAGGGAGCAGCTCCAGCGCTCTCCCCCACCCACCCAGCCAGGTCTCGGCGGGAAGGGGCCGCTCTGCCTCCTAAGCCTGTTTTCATTTGCTTAGGAGAAGCAGACCTGTGCCTCCGACACTTAGTCCGTGCCCTTAGTCCGTGCCTACTCAATATCTGAGTGATCGAGCGGAGGGGGACGTAGGGCTGCAGGGCTGGGGCGAGGGTGAGGCTACTGGGGCCCCAGGTTTCGGGAGGCGCTCGCTCTCCAGGCTCATACAAGCTTCCCCTCCCTGGTCCCAGCCCTGTGGCTGATGGGTGAAAAAAAGCTTCAAGGGGACATGGCTGACTGTGGAACAGCAAGGAGCGCGCCCATCGGCACCGGCCAGCCTTTGCTCCCTCATGTCCACAGGGGTATCCTGTACGGGGCCGGGCACTAGCCTATCAGAAGGCCCCTGCTCCCAGGAACTGCAGAGACAGTTGTCCCTGCAGGGGTGCAGGGGCTGAAAAGAATTATAATAATATTAAATAATACTTTGAGTACTTAACTATATACCAAGCCCTGTGTTAAATACTTTATGACCATTATTTTATATAATCTTCTCAACAAGTCAATAAAGTACTTGGAGTCGGACAGCATGAATTTAAATCTCAGCCTTGCCAGTTTCATGATGTGTGACTTTGGGAAATTACTCAGCCTCTCATAGCCTCAGCTTCCTCATCTGAACAATGGAAGTAATAATAGAACCTGCATCATAGTGGTCCAAGGATTATATCAGGTCGTGCAAGGAAAGCAATGAGACAAGCACCTGGCACAAGGTAAGTACTAGACAAATATTAGCCATGGTTAGGTTCGTGATTGCCTCCTGTAGCTTATTCCTAGGGTTGCCATGACAAATGCCTCACGAATTGGTGACTTAAACAATAGACATTTATTGTCTCACACTTTTAGAAGCTAGGAGACCAAGATCAAGGTGTTGGTAGGGCTTGCTCCTTCCGTGAGCTTTGAAGAAGAATATCCTTCATGCTTCTCTCCTAGGTTCTGGGGTTTGTTGGCTTGTAAATGTCTCTCTGTGTCTCTTTACATCACCTTTCCTCTGTGTGTCCATCTCTCTGTCCAAACTTCCCCTTTGTCTCAGTCCATTTCAGCTGCTATAACAAAAATTCCATAGACTGCATGGCTCAAACAACAACCCCTTATTTATCACAGTCCTGGAGGCTGAGAAGTCCAAGATCAAGACACTGGCAGACTCGGTATCTGGTGAGGACCTGCTTCCTGGGTCTTAAATGGCCGCCTTCTCACTATGTCCTCACAAGGCAGAAGAGATGAAGGAGCACCCTGAGGTCTTTTTTATAAGAGCACTAATCCCAATCATGAAAACCCCACCCTCATGTCCTAGTCACCTCCCAAAGGCTCCACCTCCAAATTGGGAATTAGTTTTCAACATATGAATTTAGCGGGGGGGAGGGGGCGGCATAAACATTCGGCCTATAGCGTCCTTCTTATAAGGACATCAGTAATATTGGATGAGAACCCACTCTAAAGACCTCTTTTTAACTTGATTACTTTTTATAAAGACCCTATTTTTAAATTAGGTCGCATTCTGAGACACTTGGGGTTCAGAATCCACCATGTCTTTCGCAGGGGTGGGAAGGCATAATTCAACCCATAAGACTAAGTAACTTGCTCAAGGTCATGCAGCTCGTTGGTGATGACACTGGGTCCTAGAGCCCAGGGTTATTTGATGACATAGTTCATGGCATGTACCCACATGTGAAGCCCCAACACCCCTAAATCTTCTCTGGATGGGGAAAAAGAACCAAAGAGAGATGTTCAGAGCCTACTGTTCTGTGTTGATGGCATTTTCCCTTCTTTCTCTTTTTCTATAGCCTGCCTGCTCCAGGCTGAACTGGTAAACTATGAACGAGTCAAGGAGTATTGCCTCAAAGTCCTGAAGAAGGAAGGGGAGAACTTCAAGGCCCTTTATCGATCTGGCGTGGCCTTCTACCACCTTGGGGACTATGACAAAGCACTCTACTACCTGAAAGAAGCAAGAACCCGACAGCCAACAGGTAAGGCAGAAATTGATGTTTTCTAATCGTCAGTCCCCTCTGGCAGCTACGGGGGCCTTCTCATTGAGATGGACAGCTCTCATGGTGTAGGGCCAGGCAGGTGCAGAAATGGCAAATTAGGAGTCAGGTGGGTGCTAGGACCTGGAATGAGGAGAGCAAACAGCCCGTACACTTGCCTGGAGTCTGGGTTCCAGGGAGCTTGGCACGTCTCTTCAAATACAATATGACATTCTTTGTTTTTTTCCAGTCAGAATCCAGCTTTCTTCCCTTGTTCAATAAATCCACGTTGAATTCTTACAATGTGCGAAGATTTGTGCTGGGTACCAGGGATGTGGATGAGAAAACGTGGCCGCTGTTCTTGAGGAACTCACAGAGCTGGCAAGACAGAATACAAAGGAATAACTTTGGTGTGAAGCCTAGTATCTTCCAGGAGGCCTGCTCTGACTTCCCCGGCCAGATCCCACTCCTTAGAGCACACGTTGACTGTACCATTTGCTTAAATTCATATCCACTAGCTCAGCTACTCATTCCACTCTACAGATACTTATTACAGGGGCCCCGGAGCTACTGCAGGTGCTGGGTAAATAGCAGTGAAAAAGAAAGTTGCTACCTTTGAGGAGTTTATGTTATAATGGAGGACAATGGACAGAAAGCAAATGGACAAATAGATAATGTAATATTTAGTAGTGTTAAGTGCTATGAAGGTAATGGAGCAGAGTAAAAGGGTCAAGAGTCAGTGGGGTGCACTTGTAGCCCTGATGGTAAGAAAGAGCCTCTCTGAAGAGGTAACCTATCAATGACTTTGACTTGATGTTGCGGCTGTTGTCCATATGGCCAAGTTTTTTAATGCACTTCCCCTCCCAAAAAGTCTTTAAGAACTTTAGGGTCAATTTGCAAATATCCAAATGTATACTTTTTTCTTTAGTTTTGTCAGAACATCAATATCTTTATTTTTTTTTAACATTTTATTTATTTGTTTTTAGGGGGACTGGTGAAAGAGGGAGAGAAACACTGATGGTTACCTTTTACACACCCCCAAATGGGAACCTGGCCTGCAACCCAGGCATGTGCCCTCACTGGGAATTGAACCTATGACCGTTCGGTCCATAGGCCAGCACTCAATCCACTGAGCCACACCAGCCAGGGCTATTTTTATGTGTTGATTAGTTTCCTACATATCGTTTGTGTTCCCCCAACTGTACTGTAACCCACTGGAGGATTAAGAACTGGAGTCATTCAACAGAATTTTTTTGAACAACTACTATGTGCCAGCACGGTTCTGGATGCCACACACCTGGCATTTTTTGCGTATCCTACATCATTCATTTCTACTTCTAGAAGTAAACGTCTCAGGCAGCCCTATCACTCTTATATGCGGGTATGTGCAGAGCTAGGCAGCTATGCCATGTCATACCCTGCTCATTAATTTAAGAACTGGGATTGGGGGATAATTCCCCAGTGTGAGGTGAGGTGGTCAACTCCACCAATGAGGACAAAAATAAGACAGTGAAGCAAAGTCATTTTAAACTCTTCAATTTTAAAAAATTACATTCAACTAATATTTATTTATCATTAGATGAAGCACTTTTAGACTAACTTATTTTGGCCCTCACAGCCCTTTCATGAGAAAGATAGAATGACCCCCAGGAGAGGCAGGCTTTGGAGTCACGTGCACCACATGCTACGTGTCTCCTTGGGTGCCTCACTTAACCTCTCTGGTCACCCTAAGGGTGATGCTACATACCTTGAAGGATTATAATGAGGGTTAAACAATACAATGAAGGTTAAAAACTTAAAAACCTAGCACATAGTAGGCATTCAAAAATGGAGGCTGTTTTCTTGCAGACAAGACACGAGGCTCAGAGAAGTTGGTAACAAACCCAGGGTTAAACTCTAAATAGAGCCTCAACTAACTGTGCTGACTCAGGACCACTGGGATATGCTGTTTCATAGAAAAAAGGGAGAAATCCCTCCTCCTCTCCTCTCCTTGCCATCTGTCCCTGGGTCAGGGTGACCTGTCCACACTTGCAGGGGGAGTCCATGGTGGGAATGCTGGCATCCTGGTCACCCTCTTGGCCATCATGGATCTTGGCTGAGTGAGTGTGGCCTGTCCGTGGACTGTAGACACAGCTGTGGATGGATCCTGTGCAGACCCAAGGGTTCCCCTGGCCAAGAGTCCCCTAAGGAACGTCTTTGTCTTCACAGACACCAACGTGATTCGGTATATCCAGTTGACGGAGATGAAGCTCAGCAGATGCTCCCAGAGAGAGAAGGAAGCCGTGTAACAACACCTGTCTAGAGTTGCACCTACGCCAAACCTGGACTCCAGGCATCCCCTGGTGGAGAGCCCCTCCCTGGCTTCTGGTCCTTTCTCCCCACTTCTTCTGTCAGTCCCCCTCCCACCTCTTCTTCCTGTTGCCCCTCAATTCTCTGTCTACTCCCAGTGTGACAAAAGGAGATACAAATTTGGAATCAGGTGGGGTTGTCCCGGTAATGGAGATACTCTCTTCTGTAGTAGGTCAGCCACTGAGAGGGACCTAACTTCTGCAGGGACAGCTGGGGAGGACTCTCACGGGCCAGGAATGACTGTGCTTCTGACAGAGACAGAGCCTGGCAGGTGTACAATCCCAAAGGCAGCAGGCACGTAGTCCATAGCTGGACCCTCCACACCTTTCTGACAGACCAGAGCATCTCAAGGCAACTGTGACAAATCCAGGGATGAGACAAAACACCAGAAGCATTGGTTAAGCCAGGCGAGAGACCATGAATGTGTACACTGGATTTCCCCAGCCCTACCCACAGCAACCTCAGCCCCTGCCTCCCTCCCTCCCTTGTTGTCTTGGCTTGTGCTTTCTTCTCTCCCCCTCGGGGACTGGAGACTCTGCCAGGATTCACATGCCATTGAAGCCCACTCTCAGTGCTCTCTGGTGACTACACATGCCATTCTCCCATCCCCCACCCACAGCAGGCAGCCATGACAGCAGAAGGGCAGGGTAATGCGGGCCAAGGGTTGGCCACGTAGGTGATGGCGGGAGGGAGAGACAACATCCAGGGGAGAGAGAATTGTATAGACTGGGGGACTGAACTGTGGACTAATTCAGTGTAAATAAAAATAAATTAACAGGGAGCAGTTCCTGTCATTTCTGTTGGAAGCAGCCCCCACCCCTACTTTTACTCCCTCTCCAAACTCACTCCGAACTACTTACAGCCAGGCAGGACGGGGCTTCCCCCAAAGCAAAGGACCGTTTGTCCAGCAGCATGCAATGTTGGCTGCCGCCTCTGTGCCCTTAGAGTAGGCTGGGGCCGGGGAGACTGCCCAGCGACTGGGCTTTGTGGGACTTCATGGGACTTGTACAGCCTCTTTTTGATGACATTAGCTGGACTCAATATCTAGCACAGAGGATGTGTTCAACAAATATTTGTTGAATGAATAAATTATGACTACAGACTGGCTCTCCTGCCTTAAACTAATCTTATCCCAGCCTAGTCTCCTGATAGCTATGCTCTTTATGCCATGTTGCTTCAGTCAAATAAGAAACATTTCCTGAGGGCTTACAGCTTGCCTATCATTGTGCAGTATGCTGGGGGACATAGGATGTAGTCCCAGTCTTAAAGGAGATGGAAGAGTTGAGAGATACTCATGTAAGATTATTAACCAATGACACCTTTAATTTCTATGATGCTTTAAATTTTTCAAAGCACTTTCATGTATTTTTGTGTGATTAGTGAAAGAGACAGTATTGTACAATTAAAATATATACAGATGCAATAATGTTAATAGTTAGCATTTATTAAATGCACTATCCTCAGATCTTTACATGTATAATCTCATTCTTTCATGCAGTTATCCTATGAGATAGCGTTTCCATTTGATGGATAAGAAAACTGAAAACCAGAAAAATCAACTATCCCAAGGTTGCATGGCCTTAGGTGGAAAGGCTAGGGTTTGAACCAGGTCTGCCTGACTTCAGAGCTCTAGCTATGAACTGCACTATGGTTAGTTGCTGCTCTGAAAAGTGTATTGAGCAGTTACAACCACTCAAGAGCAGAACCTTGTGTATTAAGTTGAAAAGCCTTGACTATTCAATGGTGGTACATGAGCTGCCTCTTGTATTTAAAATGCCCAAGGCAAAAAAAAGAAAAAGAAAAAAGGTTCCTAACACCAGACTCCCTAGTGGACAGGGAAGGGACAGGCCAGGAACAAGTAGCTGAGACCCAGCAGTTATTTCTGTGTATTGCTGATGGGTAGAATCCAAACAATCCACCTAGCTTTCCTCACCCCGTCCCGGCACTGGGGAAGAGTCACAATTACAGACAGAGACTGAAAGGAAACACAAAGTTAATTATGGGTCATTTGTTTAATCAGAGGCTCCACCAAGGCAGGATCTAATCACTGCCAAGGGGCCCAGAAGCCAGCAGCACAAGTTATATTCAGGTAGCTCCTCAAAGGCTTCCAATGGGGACTGTAGGAAAGTGCTAGAAATATCCAAGGACCCAGAGTTGCTGGCCTATAGCTCAGCCTCTGGGGGTGAAACAGGAAAAAGCTGTTACAGCTGCCACATTCCACCCCACCTCTACCTTGTCCTCCCTGTCCTCGTCCTCCAAAATGATTTCACATGACCCCGATTCAAAACCACCCTGCAGTATACATGCATGAGGCAAACGTGCAGAATTCCCATTCCCAACCCTCCAGCCCAGAAACTCTGTGAGTTGTCAAACTACTTGTTAGACCCTGAAGGACAAGAAGAGGTCAGAGGTGGCCTGTAGAACCAGTTCAGACTGGCAGGGTCTTCCTTTGGTCTCACATTCAGGAAGGACTGAGAGTAACTATTCCCAACATGGATCAAGAGAGAGGACTTGCCTCAGACAGTGAGTTGAGGCAGGGCTGAACAGACGGGGATAAGATTGTTGCCATCCTTCCAAAGAGAAATGTTGAAAACAAACATTAGGTGGGGGCAACCTTAAGGGACCTCATAGTACAAGTGTATAGGCTGTCTGCTTGTCTGGTGACTTAGATACACATGCTTATTGGAACTCCATTCACTGTGACCCAAAGTTAAATGATCTCAAAGGAAAAAGCTGCCTGGGTATATTAGTTGATGTCTGGCGTGAGTGGTGAATTTTCTGTTCATTTGTTCAACAGACTTCAGAGAGCTGTTCAGCAAAATCGGGTGTGTTCACCTTACCTTCAGCTCCCTTCTCCCCAAGCCTCCCCAAACCAGGGACCATCGTTTAATTACATGCTTTGTTTGCAGATGTCACTGTTGAACTCCACCTGGAGCACTAAACTGGATCTGACCTGCTTTGTCATCTCCTGCTTGGACTTTTGTGATAGACTCTTTGGGGGGGAAATTATACTTGCAATTATTATGGAAGCCTCACATGTGTATTGTAGAATTTTAGGGGGAAAAAGACTCCAATCCATAATCCTACCACCCAAGACAAACATTATAATCCTTTTGGAAGTATATTTTGGTCCTTTTCAGGTTAAACATGCACATACACAGTTTGTTTTTAACAAAAAGATCACAGTCTTTAGCAACTTACTTTTCAAAATGTTTGTATTTTAGAATCTGTAATACATACACAGGCACAAAATTTAAAAATTACAAAAATCTCTATAGTAAGTAAATCTCCCCCCCCCCATCTGCCAGCATCTAGTTTCCCTGTATATCCTTCCAGAGGCATTTACATTTCAAACATATGTATATATTCTTTTGTCATGCACAAATGGTAGCCTACAGACACGCTTTTTCTGCACCTTGTGCTACTTCACTTACTATATCATGAATGTACCCTTTTTTGCATGTCTCTCAAACTTTTTCAACAGCAGCCCCATTACACAGGTGGGTCCTCATTGGGTAACTAATCCCCTAATAGTGATAGTTTCATTTGTTCCCAATCTTCATTGTAAATAAGATTGCAACAGACCTTCTTGTAGCTATGTTTTGCACACACCTATAAATATTTCCTTAGGGTAAAAATCCAAGGAAGACATTGCTTGGCTACCTTTAAGAATTTTGATATATGTTGCCAACTGCCCTCCAGAAATTTCAAACCAAAGCACTCTCTCATCTGCAGCCTTGAGAGCACCCTGCTTTCTGCACCCTCCCTAATGGTAGGGCTCAGCACTTACCAGATCTTCTCCAGTTTGATAGGAAAATAATAGGGTGTCAATGTTATTTGAACCTGCATTTCTCTGATGATTACTGATTAACATCTTCCCATGCTTGTCGATCATGTGTACTTCTTTGTGAATCTTCTATTCATTTGATTTTGTATCTTTACCTTTATTATCAACATGTAATTGTCTTAAGAATGTTATTTTTGTCAAGAAACATTGCAAATAAGCTTTCCAAGTGCTTTGCTTTCTAATTTTGTTCATGGTGCTTTTCTGACATACATAAATTCTTAATTCTGCAATTAATTTGTTCCTCTGTTGCCAGCTTCTTCTGCCTAGAGCTCACTCTCCCGTTTCTGTCAATGCCTCCTCTAAAGCACGGTTGATTCTGTCACTCCGTAGCTTAAAAACCTGTGGTGGCTTCTCCTCACTTTAAAAGCCAGACTCCTTAGCATAACACAAAAGGTCTTTCATGTGATTTTTTTTACTGACTCCTCCTGGCTCAGTGGAAAATGCTGGCCTCCAGGTACCCTGCATTCCATTGCTGCACAGCTTCTTGTCACTCCCCGAACCCGTTGTTCTGGGTTTCGGGGCTTTTCCATGCTGTTCCCTCTGCCTAGCTGCCCATGCCTCACTCCAACTCCCCCTTTGCCTTGCTAACTCCTTTAGAACATCAAGCATCGCAACTTGAAAGGCTTCCTTGACCCCTTACTCTGCGCTTCTAACATGAGCCTACCTCTGGCTGGCGTTTGCTACAGTGAGTTGGAATTTCCTATTTGTGTTTGTCTCCCTCACTACCTGGATATTCAAGGCGGGCACTGCGGTTTACGCATTTATGCAGCCAGAATGTCTAGCACAATGCCTGCACATAGTAAGTGCTCAGTAAATGTTGAGCACGGAGCCTAGAATGAATGGATAATGGTTTCAGTGGCAAATGTTACTTGAGGTAAATACAGGGCTGGACTGGGTCTGTGCTTCTGAGAACTAGAGAAATCCTAGGAGGCCTGGGTTATAAGAGAAGCCATGTGCTGCACTGCTGTGCTTTCTAACGCATCAGAATCACTTGAAATAGCTATTTAAAAATGCATAATCTCAGGCTCTGTCTTAGACCCACTGAATCAGAATCACAGGGAATAATGCTCAAGATACTATAGTTGTCTTTTTTAAGTCCTGAAGTGTTTCTGATGATCAGCCAGGTTAAAAAGCCACTGCCAAGGTAGACCAGCAGATGAATCAGAGCCTCCCCCGCCCACCTCGGCCCCGTATCAAACCATGTGATCTTTGGAGTGGATAGATGGAGCTTTTTTTGAGTATCAGCTTTGACATTTACAGGCTGTGTGACCTTGGGGCAGTTGCTTGACTTTTCATGTCCTCATTAGCCTCACTTAAACATGAGGACAACATTATATATCCCCTAAAGGAGAGCTGAGAGGATTAAGAAATGCCTGTCTCCTAGCTCAGTGCCTAGTACAGAGTAAGCATGAAATAAACATTCATTTCCTTCCCCCCACCCTCAGCCTCCATCTCCTCATGTACAGTGTCACTGCTCATACCCGTCTGTCTTCTATATTCCCACGCTGAACTAACTAGAAGGAAGAGAGCTTCCGTCAGGCCCTGGGTTTGCTCTGATCAAACAGGACCGCTACTTGGGTGACGCTGGGGGCAGAGGAAGCCCCCTATTCCGCTGCACACTCTCTCCAAGCACATCAGAGAATTCATAGCGATCAGGTGGGGTAGTTCTGATGCTTTCAGAACCAGTTGTCTTTTAGCCACACCCAAAAATCAACACAGTTTTCCTCCTGGGGTTCTGCCCAGAGGCCAGTGGTTTTGAGCTTCAAGGTGAAGATGATTGTGAGAAAACAGAGTAGCCCTTGCCTGCTCTCCTTCCAATGCCTTGGGATCCTCATCCCACGACTCAGGGTGGAGAAGGCAAGATTGGGTGTGAGGTCAAAAGAGCTCATCTGCAGCCACTTTAATTAAGATGCTTTCCACTCCCAATGCCTACGTGCTCTTGCTTCCCCCCAGCCCCAGGACGGCTGCAGAGACTGGGAAAATGCAGTCAGTCCCTCAGGCCTGACAGAGTTCAAATTACCAAGTCAGCATGAAAAGTCCCACTCTAAATGGACTGAAATTGGATTCTATTAAAAACCACACTCACTGAGGCCCTTGGCTATTAATATTTGCTGAGACATGGGCCGGGGGCGGGGGGGTGGGGGGGGGGGTGGAAGGCAGAGGCCCCTGCGAAATATTGGAGACTGCAGCTGTTCTGTTGCATTGTTTTTCTGGAAGCGAGCCTACGTTGGAAAGCTAGATTTGCCCTGTTTTCAACATTTCACAGAATATTAGGGCTGGAAGGAACCCTGAAGCTTTCTCACCTTATACATGAGGGCTCAAGTCCAGAGAAGGTAAGTGACTTACTCAAGGTCACATAGCTAGTAAGTAACAAAGCCAGAGCAGAAACTCTTACTGGTTTTCTGACAACAAACTTAATACTCTTTCCACTGATCTAACACACACTTACAAAGCACCTGTCTTTTTTTTTTTTAATATAATGCTATAAAATTATTCGTTTCCAAAGAAATGTTAACCTAAAAATAAAGACCAAAGTAAGAGGCAACAACATTCATTTGAGATAAAAACAAAAAAACAAA